TTGTGCTTTTAAAAACGTTTTTTGTGAGTAAAAACAATGTCAAGTTTAGAAGAAGATGAACCTCAACCTAAACAAAGATGTAGAGTTATCCAGGATGAAAATTATCAGCGTAATAAAATACGTAGTTCCAGAGTTAAATGTGAGGCCTATACAAATTATAAAAATAATCAAGTTTCCGGTAAAATCAAACCATAAAATATTTCATGTAAATGTAATTTAAAGTGCTCTTCAATCATTAACTGTCAGGTTATAGACGAAACATGGAATAATTTTTATTCTCTAGAAAATATAAATATGCAGGATATCGATACACAAACTTTGATTGAAATGAAAAAAGTCCAACGTAGACGTAAAAAAAATCTAGAAAGCGTAAGCTTTGACAATCCTAACAATAAACCTGTCGATAACAACGTTTTACCCTTTAAAAGAAATCATTCATATTTGTACAATCTTAAGGTTAATGGTATATTAAAACCTCTATGTAAAAATATTTTCATGGCGATTCATAGAATTTCAAGCGATAGGTCAGAAAGAATTTGTCATTTGTTGACTCAAAATAAAACGCGACAAAATATAACAGGAACGTTAATGCCAAGCCTGAAGAGATGTATGATCCATCCATAACCACATATCCAAATTTAAGGTGAAAGCGACGCACTATGATGGGAAACATAAAAAGTACCTAGATGTCCGTTTAAATATTAATAAAATGTATAACATGTTTATCATTGATAATCAAAACTTATGAGATGAAGTTAAATACAAATTTTACTACAATTATATTAAAGAAAACTTTGGATATTCTTTTGGGTGCCCTCAGGTTGATGTGTGTAGTACTTGTGAAAATCTTAATACTAAATTAAAAGATAAATGTTTAAATGATAATGCAAAACGCACTGCAGCGGCTGAACTCTTAGTTCATAAGAGAACAGCAAAATAATTCTATACTACTATTGATTAAATATACTAATAATATATAATATATTAATAATAGTATATTTAATCAATGATACTACTATGAAATTTGCGACTACTAAGAGAGATGAAGATTATTATTATGTTAAGATGCGTATTATGTTTTGATTACATGCAAAATTTTTCTCTACCTAATATACCAGTACAAGAAGTAATTTATATGCGTCAACTGTGGGTAAACGTTTTTAGTATACATGACCTCAAAACCAACAAGTCTAAAATGTAAATGTATCATTAAGGACGGGCAAACAAATCACCAGGTGAAATATGTAGTTTCTTAAAGAGTTAAATAGACAAAGAAATACCTAGTACAGTGAAACATCTAATACTCTTCAGCGATGGTCCATTAGGACAAAATATAAACCATATGGTTGTACGTTTTTTGTTGAATCTATGTGATACAAAAAAGTTTTCAACTATCATTCATAACTTCCCTGTTCGGGGACATTCCTACTCAGTCTGTGATCGAGATTTTGGTACAATAAAACGTTTATTGAGGAAAATTGGTGGCATTTCTACGCAAAAAGAATATGCTGAATTAATTTTAAAGGCAAGTACCAAAAATCGTTTTTCGGTATACCAAGTAAAAGCAGAAGATATTCTAAGTTTCAAAACATGGTAGCCAAAATCATACAAAAAAATTACAAATTCTGACGAAACATCTGGAAGAGGTGTTCGAAGAGAAGAAAGAGAAAGTTTATAAATTTCTTCGTACAACAATTTTTGTACAGGAAGGAAACCCAAGGAAAAACGGTTGTAATGTTGTTTATTGATGTTTTATCAAAGTCGACTTTTTCTTTACTCAAGGTTGATAAAGTACCTCCAGAAATGCCCACAGAGATGGCCTATTCTTCCGGACAGGTTAATTTATTAAAAAAATAATTGCATAGGTACTTTTTTGTTAATTTTCACTTGGTCATATTTGTATAGGTGCTTATAAACAACAAAAAGATTGCAGATTTGAAAAAGCTGAAACCTTATTTGATTAGATATGAGCAATTTTACGTTCTAATTTTTGAATGGGCAGCAACAGATGGAGAAACTCGTGATAGACCTGTTGATGATTAGACAGACGACTATTAATTTGTTAATATTTAAATAATACTTCTTTTTTTGAATAATACATAATTATATTTAGTAAAACATTGGTTTAATTTGATAATAATATATTAACCCTTCAATAATAAGTTTATTTTTAATTATTAGTATAGTTATATATTTTATTTATGGTAAATTACTGCAGAAACCTTATAAGTACAAATCGGTTCAATAAAAAAAAAAATAAAATAAAAAAATCACGAAAATCACTATTTTATTAAATACTATAACAAAATAAAACGATTAGAATTCAAGAAAAAAAACACTTTTAATTTGGAAAGTTTTTTTAAGTTTTACCGAAATCATAAATTTCACACTTAACGGGTTTCTGAAATAATCGCTATCAATTATTCTTGAACGGTTTTATGTGTTTATCATTCGATCGTAACGGATTGTTCTATGAAAACGTGCGACTTGCATCTGAAGCTCCGGTGCATTGCACCCTTTGCACCCCCACTAAACCAGGCACTGCAATGGACATCACCACGGTTATTGATTTGTGTTGTTAGCCGCTGCAATGTCTAACGATCCGCGTAAACTCATGCAGGCTTACGGCGACAGCAGTGTTAATCACTCGACAGAATAAATTACCATGACCCGTTAATTAAAACGAGGTAGCACCGAGTTTCGGGGCTTATGCTTGAATTCCACTATCTTGGCGCAATATCATCACGAAATATATATTCCACAGTATATATATATATGTTTAATCGTTATTATTATTGTTATCGTTATTAATATACCGTGGTCGATGTTTTGTACGTGTGGTGATGGGGGTGTGTACTACTCGCGACCTGCGTTCGGGGCACAAAAGCTTTTGGGACGAAAACCCGAAGGAAATGGAAAAAAAAAATAAAAAACTGTCGTGCGGCGAGTCCGATTATACGGGTAACGCGAATGTGTTCAGTATAATATATCGTCTGCCTTGAGATTTTAAACATTATATTATGTGTATAAATAAATATTAAGTATATTTTTCACGTTATCTCTCTCTCTCTCTCTCTCTCTCAGTGTTTATCTATATTTTTCGGGTGTTATTCGTGTACGGTATATACACGCATGAACATTGTGTGTGCCAGCTCAGAAGTACATAATACACTACATACCATGTATATAGAAATACGCTTATATATGTATATTTTACGTATAATATTATTGTATAGTTGGTTGTGTTGAGCAACTAATATACATTAGTTCAACGTGTCGAATATATTATTTGTCGCCTGTCGAGATAAATCGTTACCCGGCGGGTGATATCACGTATTTCATACCTATACAATAATATTATGAGTGCGTTTCTTTTATGTGATCTTTCCCACCTCTTTTAACTTCCCTCTCGCTATCGGAACCATCATTATTTTCGTCGATACGATATTATAAACGATAACTTTGCGTCGTCGGCCGAACGAAGCTATTATACACTATTTAGCGATGTGTGTCTATAAAGGTCCTGTAATACTATTCTCGCCCGAAATCTGCATTCATGCGCCGTGTCGTTTCGAACTAACAAGCGAGTGGTATGCACACAATGGAATTATATGGTAGTCTGTCGTCGTTGTCGTTCAATTATAATTGTACAGTTTAGATCACTACTCGCGCGAAATAGAGTGACGATATTTTACGTAATCGCCTATTATTCTATACCATATGGACCAAAGCGGTTTGTCCCATCCCCGTACTCCTATCTGTTCGTATGCTGGAACGAAATCATATTCATTCGATATCATGCAACGTTTTACTGTATACATAATACATTTACATACCTCTGCTCTAATGTTAAAATATTACAACAGTTCAAAAACTGAACGAATATAAAAGTAAACCTGGTACCTACCGAACGTTGCACAAAGGATTTTTAAAACCATATGTTTTATCACGAAAAAAGGGATAAGCGTAAAATTGTAATTAAATTAGAATTGAGATATGGTAAAAGAGATAAAATGCTTGTCGAAACGTTATTGAGATTGTATAGGATTTCATTAAGAGAGGATTCGGAATAAGAGTTAGGAGAAAAAAGTTGTTAAGTTAAGCCCATTGGTGATGAAAAGAAGAAACTTGCGCGTACTATCACAAGCTTATTGTTCCTGGTATTGTTTTTATTTATCTTACGACAAAAATTACGTATTTTCCTTTGCGAGTGGAAGGTGAGGTTGGAATGATATAAAACCGTTAGATTGAACGATAAAGATAAAATATCGATGGTTCGTGGGGAATACCATTAAATTGAACACATACGTCATTCAATTCGTAGGCACTCCTCACATGGAGGTACTGAATAATTTTTGAATTATTATTGCAATGGAACGGTTTCATTATCATCGTCGACTTTGTAGCGCCTAAACATGTATCGTACGACGAGTATCGTATAACGCGTTGATGGACGGTACACAGACGTCGGTGTATGATCGATGTTTGCATATCAATTCGATGAAAATACGTGTTAAACTTTTACCGCGGTTCGTGTAACTGTTATCATCAGATAGTGCAAAGCAAATGATGCGTTGCGGTGGCCACGTCCACGTTCCGATTTCAACGTTTAGCCGTGCACAGGGCCGTAACAAGGGGGTAGCGAGAGGTTAGTACGCCCCGGGCGCAATTCCTGGGAGAGCACAAAAACGAAAATCTTGCATTTAATGTTAAAAATTACAATGATCGATGTCGTATGTTTTGTTTGCAAAATATTTATTATCTAATCTATTTATTATTATATATTTATTAATATCTATTTAAATTATTTATTATTAAAATATTAATTAAATTGATCATTGAAAATAACATCTAACGAGCATAGTATTTTTAAATTAAAAATACAAAAGGGTGCATTTTGAAGGTTCGCCCCAGTCACGATGTTTGGTTGTTACGGCACTGATCGTGAGGTCTAAAATCTAAACGGTTATCGGTAACCGCGTTCGGGTAGCGAACATTACCTTGAACACCTCCCAGGTGGCGCTGAACGGCAGCACGGCCACGCCGACCATCAGGTCGGAGACAGCCAGCGACACAATGAACGTGTTGGTGGGCGAGCGCAGCTTGGAGCTGTTGAACACGGCGGCCACGACCAGCGTGTTGCCGACGGTGACGATCAGAGCGATGAACGACAGGCCGGCCAGGGCACCCAGCACCTGCGCGTCCTTCCACACCAACGAGTCGCGCAGCGTCTGGCACTCGGTCCGGTTCATCGGGTCCGGGACACCAGCGGTGCGCGTTTCGGTCCGATCCGGTGCGGCCGCTGTCCGTTCGCGGTCGTCGTCGGATGCGACAGCGGCGCGATGGTGGTGGTGTTGGTGGTGGTGGTGGTAGCGTGCGGCGACCGTTAGAGGCCGTCAGCGGAGCAGCGATGCAGCAGCGATCGATCGTCCGCGTCCCGGTCGTAGTCGCGCGGCCGTCACGACGGCCACCACTGGGACCGCCGCCGCCGCCGACGCGGTCGTCGCTGTTCTCGTCGCTTTTGCCGTCGACCCAAACACCGACATAAGAGACGGACACGTGGTGTCGGCCACTAACACGCGGTCGCGGCCATCACCGACGCCGCGGCCGCAGTGGTCACCGGCCGTGGCGGCGTTCTCGTTACCGACATCGTTACCGCGGTCGCACCGCTGCTGATCATCGCCACCACCAACGCGTCGTCATGGCCGCAACGGTTTACGACGCACGTCAGCGACGGCCGTACTGCATGACAACGGCTACGGAATACGATTCGATTTCACACCGGCCGAACACGCCTGAAACACAGACAATACGTTTTATTAGTTAAATGAATATAATGCTACCGCCAGCGGTGCACTGCGTTTCGCTTACACTCTATTCGTCGGAGGGCCTCCCCCCAAGCACGCCAACAGGATAAAATTCTACCCGAGACATGATTAAAATTCTAAGGGCCAAAAAAAACGTGTATCTAAAAATAAATGAGAACAAAATCAAATACCATAGAAATTGATTCTCGGAAGAATTTATAGTTTTAAACGATATGCAGTCATGTGTAGATATTGTAAACTAATAAATTCGTTCATGATTATACATTTTAGATTATCTAAAAATATAATAAATTTTACTAAACTTAATAAATGGATCTCAATAAAATTATGTTATAATTAATATGCGTGGTATTAAATTAACATTAGTTTTGAAACAAAAATTCCTAATAGGGGCAATGGACCTTTTTGCACCCTCCCTACGGGCAAGCATGCCTCCTCCCGGGCGCTGAACGATGAAATTTTTCATCCCGATTCGAGGATTATTTGTTGTTTCATGTTTTTCACCGATGTTTCATCAATTGTGTGGTCCGTCATAGAGTTTGGGGGTGGTGCGGGTAGAGTTCAATTGCAAATCACTTGAAACAGATGAGACAATAAAGGGTACAGCTAGTGGAGGAGACCAGTAGGCGTAATCCGGTAACAGAGGGACCAAGGATGAGCAAACAAGGATAATCCGGAGAGGGTATGGGAAGATTGGTCGACACAAGGAAATTGGTCGGTGTTTTCATTGAAAACGGAAAAGGCACAGTCTCGGCCACCGCGTTTACATCCTTGATGCGACATTGATGGCGAACAGGGGTCGTGAGTAAACGTGAATGGAAAGCGTTCTTCGAGACTTTTTCGATAAACTGTTGCAAGTCAATCGACGAATCCGATAACGTAATTTCGATTCGTTCATACGAGAGAATTAGGCGGTGTATTAAATTATTGTCAACGGTTTATTAATCGATAATGATAAAAATCATAACATGCGTATCGTTTTAATTTAAATAATTTCCTCGTGATAAAATCCTTATACGAATTTAATCCCAATTTGGGTCGTGGACTCAACAACGGATTGGAGCGTTTTTATCCCATTTCGAGATCTGATCACTATGTCACGGACAGTTTATTAACGCGCAAATGAATAATACGCATAATCATTTTTCCGCCGTCTGGCCAGCCGTGATAGAGTTCAAACGAGCTTGTGATTATACTAAACGTCTATTCGGCTAGGTTTTAAATTGTTTAATTAAATTTTTGTAGATATAACTGTTATGTGTGCGTATTTTTTCGACGTTTTATTATATTACATAACAAGGATCAACCAATGGTTAAGCAAGTGACATGTGTTTGGGGTACATCGCGTTAATATTTTTGCTCTTTATGCACAAACATACAAATTGTTTGGGGGGATGGTTTTTACACGCGCCATCGTACTTGGACACGATGAATATGGAATATGGAATTTTAAAATGGCAACGTTGCTCAGATATATACGTAAAAAATGTTAATGTAAATGTAAAAAAAAAAACCAATTATTTAAACTACAAATTCAATGCGTCTAAATATACTATAATTATCGCACATTTCTATAGCAATCGCTGTGTCTGTGTCCGTAAATATTTTTTAATATGGTTTTAATAAAAAACCTTTTTTTTTCCGGAACACTAAACAGAACCTACATTTTTATTTTTTTATTGAAATTTTCCATTCCGGGGAGGAGGCAGTATGACTCTCATCACTATCAAATCTACAACTGCATAATCTATTAATGCTATTATTATTATTATATGACTACGACCCATGGCGAATTGATAGTTAATATTAGTTTTTGGATAATTTGTCGTTTATACGATGACCACTGGGCATGCAACAATAATCATAGAATATTGTTCGACGTGGTTGCCCTGGGTCACAAATAAAATCAATGGTAATTCGGGCTGCAGTCATCATATTACAATTTTCATTGTGAATGTACATTCACCTACTCTGTGCCGGTAACCGAAATAACAATAATATATTATTAATGAATAGAGGGATATTATACGTAGCTTTTTAGACGTAGGTACAAAAAATAGAAACAGTATTACACCGTTAATATGTAGTATATTATCTTGTCGATCCATAAAAATATATAATAATAAAGTATTTAAATCAATGAAATTATACATAAAACAATGTTACAATTAATGGAATTATAAATAAAACAAACACAAAAAGAAAACAATTATCAATGAATAAATTTGTAACTTCAATGATGCACATGTTTACACGTTACTTGTACGTTGTTAATTATCAAAATATTATCGACTAAATGGAACTATAAAAATATTAACAATGGCGATAACGACTATAATGAATACGAAAAACAAAACGATATTCCACAATACAATACGAGGTACGATGGAAAACTGTTTACATTTTTTTGACGTTCAAATTTCTCAGCGTCCAAACGGCCAGTATCAGTGGCGTATTTTCAAATTTCTTTTGGAAGGGGGGGGGTCTAAAAAATAGGTAAGTTTATAATATTATAAAAAATACAAATTAAGTTTTTTTTTTTATTATATAAAAGGTAAACATGATTGTTTTTTGATAGTTCATCAATAATTTCTTCGTCTATTATATAGTTTTTGATTATTGACAACATCGCTAAACCATTCAATCTTCCCCGTAAACAAAATATTTAATTTATTGTATATATTAAATATATTTCTTTAAAATTTCATAATTGAATAGAATTCCCTAATTATCTTTTAATTATTTTTAAATTTGAAAATGTTCTTTCATTTGTTTCAGAGGAAACTGGAAGCGAGAAGGAAAATTACATTTCGAATGTTCGTTGGGTAGATAATAATAATAATAATAATTGCTCGTCTCTACGTGTAGAATATAATATTATGAAACGATCTGGTGCCCTTAAACCTGGTGCTGATGTGGTACGCGGGAAAATGCATAATTTATAGTGTCGTATACGCGACAATGATAATAATAATAATTTAAACGAGTTGTCTACGCTGCTATAATAATACATCATTAAGTTTGAATTATGTAACATTTTATCACGTACACGCGATTTCCGATCATTGCTGCTGCGTCATCAGATATTACAATATTATTATTATCTACGTACAGGAGAGTACCGTGGAGAATTTTTATTGGGGGGTCAGAGTTAGAATTTCGGCCAACTCAACAATTTCACCCCGGACTTGCTTTGGTTTTTTCACCGAAACCGTTTAATAATCGCCATTGAAATAGATGCGTTTTTCCATACGGTATATTTTTTACCATATTTTTGTTATGCCTGAGACGTATATGGATCGAGAAGATAGCTTAAAACCTCTTGTTTCAGCTCCTCTCCCGTTGTGCAATGAGTTCCATCCAGATATTCATCGTTTCAGAGAAAATATAGTAATCACTAGGAGCTATGTCTAGGCTGTGTTGGGTGGATGTGTGTGATAGTGTCCCATCTTAATTGGTTGACGAAATTGACTGTGACATGGTTGATATGCGGACGAGCGTTATCCAGATGCAAAAGCACTCCTTTCGTGGCATACCTCTCCTTTTGTTTTGGATCGTGCGACAAATCTTCCGCAACGTCTGACAATAGCGGTAGGCATTGATTGTTGTACCGGCCCGGAAGAACTCACACAATGATAGGCCCTTCCTGTCCCGAAACACGGTCACCATCACATTGCCGACAGACAGTGTTTGTTCAAATTTGCGTGGTTTCGGTGACTCTGGGCGACTCTGAAAGCTTCCACAGACGGGATTATTCTTTCGTTTCTGATGTCGTATAGTAGTGGACCCAAGTCTGATCTCCAGTAAAAATGTAGTCCAAAAATTACTCACCATTAGTAGCATTATCGTGACATGACCGGTGTACAAAGTACAAATTAATATTAGATTATGATATCAAATTTATATTAAATTGCCGTGTTGGCGATATAATATAGTCTTTCAAATTTCAATAACTGCGGTTCAATATTAATTAATGTCTGTTATAATTATTTACAAATCTACTAGCTAATATGTACAGTTGCTCGGTTTTTATTAGAAGGCCAACTGAAAAATTAAAAACTCAATTTTTGTGGATGGGGAGGGGTATGAAACACCCCTTGGTCTACTTCATCCTACGTATGATAAACGAGCGTCGGTGATTTATAAACATAGTAATTGGTCCAGCACGTCATGAAATTTCATTTGAAAAAAAAAAATTAACTTTGATATTTTTGATCGTTTCTATAAAATAAATACATACGAATTATTATCGAGTATAATTTTGGTGACCTTTCTTATAGAAGAAAGTATAATTACCCCTAGTTCTCTTTAGGCCATGATCCACCATAATTATTTTTCAATATTGTTTATCTACAACATAGGTTCCCAACCTATGGTCCGCGAGCCATACTTACAAAATGTAAAAATATTTTTATAAATAAATTTATTTATAAATTTATATTACGTAGTGAAACCCATGTTATTATTTCAACCGATAATCTAATTTTTTTTTTACATTTTTACATTAAGATTAGATTATATCGGCACAATTTAACAGATTATGTTCAAAGTTGAATATAATATTGTTGGTTTTTGTTGTTAGTGTCTCCGTAACCGTATTCCGTAGTCGACGTTTGTGTTCTTTTTAATTTTTCGTGTGTTAGATTGTCGAAATATGGCTCCGAAAAGAAAGTATAACGATGGATACATAAAATTTGGATTTATCGCAATCGAAACTAACCGTGAAATTCGATCACAGTGTGTAATATGTGCCACCGTTCTCAGTAATGATGCGTTGAAACCCGCTAAGTTAGAACGGCATTTAAAAAGTGTCCATCCTAAATTTAGTGATTAACCACCAGAGTTTTTCGTGGGTAAATCAGAAAATTTAAAAAAAACGAAACTAGGAAAAAGTGGTTCAAGATTTGAGGCAAACGAAAAAGTTCTATCTGCGTCATTTAAAATTTCACAATTAATCGCAAAATCAA